TACAAAAGTGAGGGTGAGGGGGAGAATTTAGAGGTGGGGGGTAAATTTTAACAAAAACCGAAATTGTATAAATTGCATATAGGCATACATTAAAAATTTGGAGTCTCTAGCAATAAAGGTGTAGAAGATATAATTTTATAACTGGGTTTCGATAAGGTTTTTTATCGATAAAAAAAGATCGAGATGAGTTATCGATTTTTAATGATAAACTTGATATGCGCGCTGTAATTACGGACATTTTAAAAAAAAATTTGAAGTCTCTAGCTCTTATATCTTCTGAAATCGACGCGTTCATACATACGGACAGACGGACAGACGGACAGACGGACAGACAGACGGACAGGGCCAAATCAACTCAGCTCGTCACCCTGATCAAGAATATATATACTTTGTGGGGTCTGCCACGCCTCCTTCTCCCTGTTACATACATTTCAACAAAACCATTATACCCTGATTTCCCATTGAAAATGGGTTCAGGGTATAATGAAGATGCAAAATGAATAAAGCGATTCGCATTGTGAATATGGACAAGATTTATAATACCAATTAAGACGATCTTATAATCTTTTTTCTAAAATATACGTCAACATGTCACGCAAATGTTTATGTGATGCATCCAATCCTGACAATGATGGATAGTATCATAGGATTTTGTATCGATAAATGTATATCTACTGATAATTAACCATAGTACTGTTCTCATTAATCTCTTATTATTGTCCTCTTACAATAAGATATCAAATTTTATATACACATATTTTTTTGTTTTTGTTTTAGATAACAATATGACGACGCATATCTTGAAATATGAAAATATTTTTATAATATTTATTTTAAGTATTATAGATTTTAAAGAACTATATGAATATAGAGTTCTAAAGTTTTAATATTTTTATAGGAATAGGGTTATATACATATACTTTATATTTTCAACAGTTCCATAGTTATATAAATACTACAAGATACATACGTAGAATGTAGAATGTTCATCTTATTTCTTTTACTCTTTCTCTAGCATATCTTCTAGTCGAGCATATGGGGATTATGTCGAAGCTCTGTTGATAGTTGCGAGTGTGAATAGCATATTCAAATTATGTACACACTTACCATGTTAATTAACTTGTTTGCAGTATGCGATGTTTTGGTTATTTGCTATTTGGCTACAAATTCAGCAAACAACAATAACAACAACAACAAGACACACACAAACACACACACACACAAATATATCTACATTTCTCTGTGTATGTCATTGCAAATGTCTAAATTTGGATATTTAATTGCGTTAATTATTTGATACTTAGATTTTGACGAAGCAATTACGAGCATTAATAAATAATTATTTGTTATTGGCCCATGAAGCGCTTTCAGACAAATTAGAAATGGTTTTTATTTATTATGGCACAGACAAGTTGAAAGCAAATACTTTCGGAACTGATCTGCAATGGAATGGCAACATAATAGCATTAAATTTAATGGAAAATTATGCGTGGGACATTGTGGAATGAAACACATGTAGCACATGACCACGAAATCATAATCATATTGCATCTAACTTTTAAAATTGTACCTACCTCAGCCACAGAGAGAGGTTTATGTATTGCTTTGCAGCACAATGTGGAACATTGTGGAATGGAACGAATTTAGCATATAATTCTGTGTACTTAGTACATATGTCGTGTATATATGTTATATGCAGATAAATATTATTGCAAAAATAATGTGGAACATTGTGGAATGGAACACATATACAGATTAAGTAGAAGTATTATATGTAAACAACGACTTGCATTGCAGAATGAAAAAAAATCGAAAAGATATAATAGAAACAAAGTGGAATGGAACACGCAGCTGAGATAAAAGCAATACACTAAATGCAGAATCATATAATCAGGTACACAAATTGCATTAAATATAATATGGAATATCGTGAATTGGAGCACATATTTAGTCATAAATTGAACTGAAGAAAATTATAGCAGAACTCAAAACAAACTGGAATAGAACAACATGCAATGGCACGAAACGCTTGACATAAGTGAGATATGATATATGATATATAAAACCAAAAATAATATCGGCAAATGAGGCAATGCAAAAAAACGAAATGAAACGCTAAAATATCACAGTACAAAGACAATGTAACTGTTAATGAGGGTTAACAAAATAATAGCCAGTTTTTCCCTTATGAAAAAAAAAAAAAATATATATATATAGAGCTCGAAAGTGTAACAAATAATTAAATGACAGAAATTACATTAAAAGAAATGATATGCCAATTAAAAACGAAATGAACAACAACAACAACAAGTGTATATCTCATGTACTTTGATTAATTCAGATAAATTATTTAAAGCACCGTTAGCGTTTCAGATCAAATATACCAGAATATTTAATAATTTTCAATCAACAACAAAAACACAAAAAAATAAAACAACATTTACACTTTTCAAATTGAAATTAATGACAATAATGATAGCGAATCGAATAATTTATTGCATTATAATTAATAAGCAAATGTTACGGTTAATTTCAGCATTAATCCAAAATGACGGATTTTATACCAAGTCCAGAAAATGAAACAAAAAGAAAAAAGCAAAAACAACAAGACAAAAAACAACAGCAAGCTGTAGGTAAACAAATTATTTCAATTTACAGTTGACATCGCTTAATTAGTCAGGTAACAGGTACAGTGAGGCCTGCGATAATTGAACAGCTGCCACAAGCCATCTTCGCCTCCTCTTTTCACACTCATTCACGCTAATGGAAGGAGTATATTGGTTTTTGTGCAATGTCCGTCCTCATGAAATTTGGCACTTACACTTGGGTATACGAATATAGATTCTCAAATTTATCCCAAAAAAAAACATTTTCCTTTATCTCAGAAAATATGCTAGAGAGTTGAGTTGCAATATCGACTCGGATTAACAGTCCAAAAGTCAACCAAATACGGCGTATATGTCTACGCCCATTGTGGGTGTAAATGAGTATTCTGCAGTCGGTAATGCCCGTCTGCAACGTTTTTTTTACTTGTTTTGTTTTAACTCAGTTGATAGCAACAAAAAAGTTCTCACACATTGGCAACAACTTTTACAATTGATTTCGACATTTGTTTTCAAAAAATTTAAACGCATTAGCCAGTGGCTGACAAAAAGCTCGCTGACATAAAGGAATTCAATTATCAATTCAACGGATTTACGTTCGATTGATTTAAAAAAGTAGTTGAGATCGAATTATATAATTGAATTATTATAGCATTTATAACACAAATATATTTTCCATTGTTATAGACTGAACTTCAGTTATATGAAAAATCAGTTTCTCGTCAAATAAAAATATTTTAATTATTATTATTATTTTTTTTTTTATTCATTCAATTATTTAGTATTATTTTCTTTTATTCAATTATTTATTTTTTAATTTAATTTTCAGGTTATTATTATTATTATTTTTTTAATAATAATTTTAAATTGTTGGTATTTAATTAATCTATTAATATTTTTTTATTATTTTATTTTTATTTATTTATTTTTTTTTTAAATTCATTTTTTATTCATATTATTTTTCTATAAAACTTTATTACTTTTATTGCAGCCCAGACTTTTCCCTTCAAATAAACATTCCTTTGGTCTATAATTAAAAAAAAATACATAAGACACCGAAAAATGTGCTTGAAGAAGTTTTCTATTTCTTCTTCATTCAATATTTGGTTTACTCATTTTTCTTAAACCTTAGACATGAGTAATCTAAGTTGAATTGAATCAAAGCTAAACTTTTATTTATTCTATTTTCTTATCGGACACTTCCAACTCTGCCCCTCCCTCTCTCTCTCTTTCTGTTTCATGTGAACTGGTCTAACTTTTGTGCTGTCATGCAACTACTATTTACACACACACACACACACACTCTCACACAGAGACAGAGAGGAGAGATACTTGAAGCAGTCGTTTTTTGTTTCTGGATTCTGTGAAAATATCAGCGAAAAGGTGTTACATTTCCTTTTTATCACTAAAAGCCTTTGCAAATATAACTACAGTCAATGCTCGATAGCATGAACCATATATGTATATTGACAGACAGAGATGCAAATTTGCCAAGAGTCAAATGAATATTTTAGTTAATTTCCTAGAAATTCTTTCACTGTGCCCAAAAACTTTGACAACAAATTCATCGCCTCTCTTGATTATTTACTGTAGTACAGCATTACCGTAGTAGTTCATTTGGTCATGTGTAAATTGAAAGTGTGTCGTCCGACGCTTGCGGTTTTGAGATTTTTGGGTCAATTTATTTGTTTTACTTTGATAACAAAAACAAAAACAAAAACAGAAACAGAAATAGAAACAACGCCAAGAAAGTTAAACAAAACAACAATCAACACTGCAGATCGAATGCGTTGAGCTATTCTGCTACTAAACTGTAAATGCTCACTCCCTCCTACTACTGTTGCTGCTGCTACTGCTGCTGCTATTTATGCTTCTACTTCTGCTACTCTTTCTGCTGTGTCGCCCTGTTTTGCCTAATTTCCTGCTACGCTTTGAATTACCCACAAATTCCCACGGGCTGTTTGTTTTGTACTTGTTTTCGAGCAACATAAAATACCGAAAAACAGACGAAACAGAAAAAAAAAACCGAATCAAGTAAAAACAACATAAAGCGAAGCAGAATAAGTGGAAGACAAAATATATATGCATGCCAAGAGGGCTTGGGCGATTGGGAAGGGGAGGGGGAGAACATGCAGAAGACAGAACTTACCCGCGTAACATGAGCAGCTGTCCAAGCTAAATGCAGCAATGCCGAGCAGTAGCAGCGACATTAACAGAGGCGGCGGCGTCGACAGCGGCAGCATTTTGAGCCAAGCTACTGCCGCTCTGGCTCCGGCTCCGGTTCCGTCTCTTCTAGCTCTTGCCGTTGCTGCTGCTGTTGTTGTTGTTGTTGTAGATGATGATTTTTTCATTCTTCGTTTTGGTGGTGGCGATGGTGCTGCTGCTGCTGTTTTTTTGTTGACGCGCCGCAGCGACGACGCCAACGATCGCTGCTGCATTTGCGGCAGTTGCTGTTGCTCTTCCTCTTGCTTTTCTTTTTCTGGCTGTTGTTGTTGTGGCCTGTCGTCTGTCACGTTAAGCCTCGAAGTTGCGCTTGAGCTTGTTTTAATTTTCAGTTTTACTTTTAATATCAATGTTTTTGTTTTTATTATTATGTTTTGGCATTTATTTTGAATATTCCGCAAGAGTTTTGCTTCGCTATTTATTTTCTATTACTAAATTGTCAATTTAATTTATTGAACATTTTCTCAAACATTTTGTTGGTGCCTGCAATGGACAACATCAAACGGGGCGTGTGAGTTAAAGAGGCGGGTAGAAACAAACACACACAGGCACACACACACTCATACACACATTCATGCATTCTTCATACATTGAGAAGATGATGAGCAATAGAACGCAAAGTAAAACAAATGCTAACGTCACTTTGATCTGCCACTGCGCTTTGTGCTGTCGTTCGCATAAAATACCACTCACTCACTCACTCGCTCGCTCTCTCACGCTCACGCACACCTGCCGCAGGTAGAAACGCGAGCAAAAGAGAGCGAGAGCGCAAACGGAGAGCGCCGTGTGAGCGAGGCCCATAAACGATCAGCGCGCCAAGCCAAAGCCAAAGCCAGCGGCGGCAGCAGCTGCGGCAGCGCAGTCAGCGTTTGTTTAATGGGAGTTCTTCTTCTTCTTTATATGCTGCTGCTGTTGTTTCTGCTGTGGCTGTGGCTTTTTGTGAACCCTTTTCTTTTGGCTCTGTTTGTGGACTGGTTGCAAGAACTCGTTTTCACATGCAATTCTTTCGTTTTAGCTTTGCTCGGTCCCACATACACACATCAACAGACAAACACCCATATCCACACACACGCACACACTTATTTAAAATTCGTATAGGAATGTAAATAAATTGATATCCATTGTTAATAATTATAAATAACATTTGTTTTCTTATCGACGCGGCAGCATTGCGTTTATTGCACATGCGTTTTCATTTCATTTCATTTCATACAAATATTCATGCATGCACGCTCACACACACAAGCACTCGAAACAGAAAAAAAAGAACAACAAAAATATTGAAAGATCATTGCGCGCTCTGCCCGCTGAACGCTGCCGATCGACGCGCCAGCAGCAAAGATATACAGCACACCAAAAGACATACAACGTTTTTACCAGCTACGCTTTGGCTGTGTTTTCGCACGAACTCTACGACTATGCCAACGACGACGGCGGCGACGGCAATAACGACGGCGACGACGACGACGATGACATACGGCAATCACTACCGTCCGGAACGCGCGCACAAAACAAACTGAAACCACTGCTCGCAGCAAAACAAAACCAGCAGCAAACCAGCAGCGAAGCAGCAGCGCGGCAGCAGCAACAGCAGCACCAAAAGTTGTTGAGTGGGTTTTTTCATAACAGAAAACTGTTAATGTGCTGTGCCATGTGAACTTCACTTGCGCAATGTTTGCACTCAAATTAACTGTTATGTCTCTGTCCGAACGCACTCAATGTTAATGTTAGCTCAAAATGGCACTGTTAGCTTACGAATGCACAGTGGCTCACAGTTTGATGGCGCTGGCATGAATATCAAATGCACTCAAGTTGCCAACGAACATTACTGATATTATACATGAATTTAGCTGCTAGTCCCTGTGCTTAGACTTTGTATATCTCTCTTGTAAATCTAAATTAAAATTAGAGTCAATTTATAGACTCTGTGAGTAGGTTTTTGTTTGTAGCAGCTGACAATTGAGCTCGCACCACTGTCGCGCAACAGATGCTGTCTCAAATATTGCACTCAAACGGCGTACGCAAAGTGCTCAACTCAAACACGCTTACCAATTTGAGCGCTAAATGACAGTTAATTTCAAAAAGTATATGCAAACTGCAAATGCAAAATGTATGTAAAAAGCCAAATAAAAATTAAATTAAATTTCATTAAATGCAACAATATCAAAGTTTTTGGCATGTTTTCACGAAACTGCAAGCATGCGCTTAATTAAATTTACAGTGATTACACTCAAACAATGGTAAAGGCGAAGTACAAATATTTTCTAATTTGATAAATTTGAGAGAAATTGTTCATAATTAAGTTGATCATAATTACGTTTCTATTAAATTACATTTTGCATGTGCAATATATGCGATTATACATAAAGTGATTATAATTTTTTTTTTTAGACTTTTGAAATTTCTTTCAACGAATTCTATATGGAAATACAAATAATTTATGAGTTCTTTGTGCGGTGCATGTGTGTGCGTGCGTGTGTGTGTGTGCTTATGTGTGTGTGTATGTGTGTGTGTGTGCATGCATTCATTTCAAAATGCACTTAAAAATTGCTGTCACGTGTGTGTGTGTGTGTGTGTGTGTGTGTGTGTGTGTGTGTGTGTGTGTGTGTGTGTGTGTGTGTGTGTGTGTGTATGTCGCGGCTTTTGCTAGAGGTCAGGTCAACTTCGTCGCCTGCCAATTAAAACTTTTTATGCGCTGCGGCTATACACAGACGCCGCACACATACATATTTACATATAAGCATGCACATAAATTATTTGTATATGTAAGAGTGTGCGTGTGTGTGTGGCTGAGTATTGTAGCGCGCTTCAAGTAACTTTATTAATGCGATTTCAGTTAATTAACAACACAATTACATGCGCAACACACACACACACACTTACACGCACGCAGACAGTGCTTAAAAATAATTTGCAAATAAGATAGAATTATGTAGAAATAAAAAATAGATACAATGCGTGCGGGGAAGAGTTGTTGTTTTTTTTTTCAGTATGCTGATCAGAGTATGTAAAATAAAACGAAGATTAACATTTGCTGTAACTTTGCACACACGCTCACGCACACGCACACGCACGCCCACATTGCTATAATTAGCATTGGCATCTGCATTCAGCGTGCGACTTGAGTTTATACTCAATGCGAGCGCCGTTCACTGTTAACAAAGCGAAACACAGCACAGCACAGCAGAGCAGAGCAGAGCAACGAGCACGAGCACTGCTGAGCATGCCAAACGAGCACTCGTGCTACCTAACGGTACCCACGCATCGCTTTGTTTTGAGTTCGTTTTTGTCGTCGCGCAACAAGTTGGCAAACGACTGCGCCTGCCTGTCTGTCTGTCTATCTGTGTATGTGTGTGTGTGTGTGTGTGCGTGAGCTTGTGTGTGCTTCGCCGAGCAAATCAAAAATACCAGCATAAAAGCTGGCGGAAAAAAGCGTTGCCTACCTTTGGGAGCATCGTAAATAAACGAATTTTGCTCAAAGAGCCCCAATGAAACGATGTTATCTGCATACAAAATGTTCTGCCATAAGAAAAAAGAAATTCGAAAACCAATGCTTCTACCTTTACTCGCCATTCGTAGCTTGAAAGAGTCTATTTGTCATTATCAGAGCACTGCAAATTGATTAACTCCTTGTTCACTCGACCAGGTTCGCTTCGCTTTTGATCTAGACAAGAGAAATATATAGAGAGAGCGAAAGAGAGAGAAAAAAGGAGACTGATTCTTATATATTCTTATATAAAGTGAATTCTTCGATATGCACTTTAAATAATCTTTTGTTTAGTATTTAATTTTTTAAAATAGTCTGAAACTGAAAATATTGAAAAAGGTTTTTTTTTTTAACGTTTTCTTCGGAATATGCTTAATGACTTTGAAAAACTACCAGAAGTTTTCAGCTGTATGGCAAAAAGAGTGACAAAGGTGACGGGCTGGGGCATGGATTGGGGCTATACTATGTTAGCCTGCTCTGCTTTGGTGGAAAAAATGCTTTGACATTGCAGCTTGATACCGAACCTTTTGAATTCACAGGCACACACACACATATATATCAATGTTCCAAAATACCTTGAATGATTTCAATGGCTTAAGCTGCAATCAGGGAGCGGCGAGCTATGAGTCTCTTCATTAATGAAACTGTCCTCGGGCTAATGAGTGTGAAAGGAGTAGAGCTTACACCACACATAGCACACACGCACACACACACACACACACACACACACAGGCACACCTGTCATGCAAATGCATTGCATTAAGGTGTCTCTTTGGCTACACCGTTATAACTGTGATTGTTTGCTAAATTCACACCTAACCCGCATCGAGCATTGAATTGATTTCGAAACGGACTTTGTAAATTATGCTCGAGCACAAAGCAGCTGACATTTTTCCTTCCATTTATTTATTTCTTTTTTGCTCCTCTTTTGTACTCATTCATGAAAATTAGAGGAGTATATTGGTTTTGTTTAATTGAAACTAGAAACTTGAAATTTGTAACGTATTCTTATATATCCTTCAATACCCAATAGCCTTCCACTTATTAGGGGGGTGGCAAATCGCTAAAATCATTTTCCGATATCTCAAAAACCATGAGAATTGAAATGCAAGAGTCGAAATTTAGAATTTATAAAGCTCAATGAGATAAATCTACGCCCATTGCAGGCGTGGCAAATCAAGAAAGTCAATTACTGCTAACATCTTCTATTGACTTGTACAAAAATATCATATATACATATATGTATATACATATATATGTATTCCGATTGTGGGCGTGGCAAATTTGAAAATGGATCTAGCAACATATTCGGCCAGCAATGAGTGCTCTGCAGTTGGTAATGCCCGTTTGCAGTGGTCTTCTTACTTGTGTTGTCTATTGATACGGCATACTGTGCGTATACGTAATGCGTTATCATGTCGCATTGGAGCAATATCTATTTGTGGCTGTACGTGACCATGGTTATGCGGCAGAGCTGAAGGTGTTATCCAACACTCGCTGCAGCTCTGCACCTCGCGCCTGTTCACACAAATCAACGGCAACTGAAACGGCTAAGAATCAAGCAACAACAAAAAAAAATAAATAAAAACTCTCAAGAGAACAACTGAGCAAAAGAGCATTGAGACATTTAGCAAATCGCCAATAATCCATTATGTGTCAGTCGAACAGCAACGAATACAAATCTGGGCCAGTTCAAGGAGCATCTCTGATGGTTTGATGGTAAAATTCTGGATTCTGAATTCTGGATTTTTTTTTATAATCTAATTTTCTTCTAATTTCTAGAAGCTGTTAGGTCTGCCAACTACGTAGTTCCTTAGGGATACTTTTTGTCGATTTTGTTTTTTCATATAATTTATATACGTATACAACTATATTAATTATTTATCATTTATAATAATATATTTTTTACCATAAAATCATTAATAAATATTACATGTTATATTTAGGATCTCGATTCCATGTGAATTTCATATACATTTTTCACAAGCATTTATTATTTTACGATTCGATAAAAAAATAAAAATAAATTAGCTTTGCGTATTATTATTCGATTTTCATTTCTTTCAGAATTTTTTTTTTATATAAATAAAACATATACATATTTTATATACTATTTTTTATTATAGTTTGTAAGATGCTATTTTTTTTTTTATTTTCTCATTCTACTTAATTTTCATATTTGTATTTATGAATTTTGTATTATTTTTTTAATATATTTTTTTTATTCGATATTTATTAAGGGCTTAACTTTTTTTTTTTTTTTTTTTTAATACTAAACAGGATTTAACATTTATAAATTTTATAATATATTCTGATATATTATTATTTTTTTTTTATCTAATTTATTTTCATATTTGTATTCTAAATTTATACATTTTTAATTTTAAATTTTAATTTTTTTTTATTATTTATTTCGTACTGTTATTTGCATTATTTTTTAGTTTTATTTTTAATAATATATAACAACATTTTAAACAAATATATACATATTTTTTGTGTTATAATTTTTTTTAAAGTGATATTTACTTTTATCACATATTTAAAGATGCAATAATTTTTTATTTTTATTATTATTATTATTATTATTATTATTTTTTTTTTTTTTGTATATATCTTTATCATTACTTTATTCAAATTTTTGTAATACACTTTAATCTGTATTTGTTGTATTAAATTTTGTAGTTATTATGTTTGTTTTTTCTTTCGGTTTATGAGTTGTAATTTGTAGATTAACCACTATGCTATAAATATTTATGTTTTCGTAACGATTTTAATAACCGATTCATAAATTATACATATTTTCAATAAAATCCCGTTGCGTTTTTGGTCTGCGCTGCTATTTCAAGCAGAGCTCGAATGGATAGTTTTTTGCTTGTATTTTACTTCTTTTTTATTTTGTTCGCTTCCTGTCGCTGCGTTGACAATTGGTTTATGGTCAGTGAAGCGAGCATGGTGGAGCAGGATGGGGCAGTGGCTGCCTCAGCAAACAGTTCAAATAACAGCAAACGGAGAGAAGGCAAATCGGCAGCTGTCAAATTTATTTGCGTATGAAAATCC